TATTCACACTGATGCTGTCTCATACTTCCCAGCTTCCTAATTCCTCAGTATCCTTAAATTCCGTGACATAATTCTTCACTTCACCTCAGCTCTACATAGGGATCCATAGTCACACACTGGATTGCACCATTACCCACAAGTGTTCTACTTCTTTAATTGAAAACTTTGACATTCTTCTATCTAACCATAACCTCCTATCATTCCATCTCTCCCTATGCCTCTCTCTAATGCTCCTAAACTATTATCCGACCTCACTGATTCATAACCCCCCTACCTCTCTAATGCCTCTACTTTCAAGACCATTAGCTGTACTTTGACTTTGCTTTCCTCACTTTCCAGTCTCAACTCTGTAGTTCACCATTTTATCCCTGCTTTCTAATTACCTCACCCCATTCTCCTGTCATCATCATCTCTTTCCAGACTTCAGCTCTAGATTACTCCTACCATCCACGTCCTCCTCCCTTGCTCGAACACTGGAGCCCAGCATGGAGCTGGAGCAAGTCACATGAACATGCTAACTAGGTCCCTTATTAATTAATGTTATTCAACTCCAACTGGGCCCTCACTGCAGTTAGGGGATCCTTTTATTTCTCTGTAACCAATTACCTTGTCTCATTTCCCACAGAAGCTATTCCAGACTATCTCTTTCCTCCTCAGACCACTCACACATCTCCCTCCTAACCATCCCTCACCTGAGATCTTCACCTGTTACTTTTCTGAGAAAAGTGAAGCCATTTAATGTGAGCTCCATTTTCTCCCCTTCTCTTCATCTCTAAACCCCTTGACATCATCATCCGCTCTCCTCTTTTCCTCCAGTCTCTAACAACGCCCTTCTCTTTGCCAAGGCCAACCTCTCTGTGTCCTTGATGCCATTCCTTTCTTCTCCATCAGAATGAAACCTGAAACATTCCCTCTTCAACCTCTCCCTATCTGCTGGTGTTTTCCCTGTTGCCTTCAAGCATGCTTAAGTCTCACACACCCAGAAAAAAAAATCCTTCATTAGATCCTACCGTTCCTTCAGTCTTATGTCTCTTCTCTCTCAACTAAATCCCTGGAAAAAGCTTTCCACACTAGCTGTCTTCACCTCCTCTGCTTTCACTCACCCTTCAACCTTTTGCAATCTGTCATCTGTCCTCCTAACCCAATTGATACTGCTTACTCCAAAATTAACAGTGACCTCTTAATTACAAGGCTGATGGCCTCTTCCCAGTCATCATCTTACTGGACTTCTCTGCAGTATTTGACACTATTGATCACTGTCTCCCCCAAGATAATTTCTCTTTCATTCCTTCTCTTCCTCCTGCCCATTTTGACCACTCCTTCTACATCTCCTTTGCTGGCTCATCAGCCGTATCATACTCACTAACTATATGTTCCCCATGACTGTCCTAGGTCCTCTTCTGTTCTCTCTCTCTACATTCTCTCTTGGTGACCTCACCAGTTCCCATGGGCTTAATTATCATCTCTATGCAGATGACTCACAGATGTATAGATGCAAGTCTGGGTATCAATCCCACATCATCAACTGATTATTGGATTTTTCAAGCTGGACATTCTTGGCATATGACAGACTCCACATGGCCAAAGTTGAACTCAGCATCTTCTTGCTCCAAACCTTCCCCTCTTTCAAACTTCCCTATTTCTCTCTTAAGGAAGCACCTTTTCTCTAATCACCTAAGTCTATAACCTCACAATTATCCTTCAGTCTCTGCTCTTCCTCACTACAAATAAGTTGCCATATCTTGCTACTTCTTTTACTGCATCTTTCATTTCTATTCCCTTTTCTCTATTCACCCATCATTTGTCCCCTAGATCTTTACAACAGTTTCTTAATTGCTCTCCCTTGAATCTTTCCACATATCAGTCCATTCGTTGTTCATGGCTGCCAAAGTGATTTTCCTTACGCAAAGATCTGACCACGTCATTTTCCTACTCAGCTAACTCTAGTGGATCTATTACCTTTAGGATAAAATACAAACTCTTCTGTTTATTCTCCCTTATTCTCTTTCTCATTTATTTAAATATATTAAATGTGTTAATATAAATTTTCTTATTTATTCTCTTTTAAAGTCTTTCACAACCTGACATCACCCTGTTTTTCTAGCCTCAGTGAATAATACTTTCTGTCCCACATTCTGTGGGATAAACAAACTGGCCTCTTTATTTCTCACCATGTTACTCCATTTCCATCCCCATGCCTTTTCACTGGCCGTCCTTCATGCCTAGAATGAACTCCCTTCTCACCTCTACCTCACAAACACCTTCTCTTCCTTCAAGAAATAGTTCAAGTACCACCTTCTACATGAAGCCTTTTCTGATCTCCCCAACTGCTAGTGCCCATCCTCACAAACTAACTTGTATTTAACTGCTTTGCATTTATCTGTAATTATTCTCTTTGTATTTATTATGTTCACACATATATGTATTTATACATGCATATATACACATGCATGCATATATACATATATACTATATATTGTGGGTGTGTCTGTGTGTGTGTGTGTGTGTGTGTGTGCGCGCGCGTGTTTGTATGTATTTGTCACCCAATTGGAATATAATCTAATTGCAATTCTGGATTGTTTGTATTTATATCCCCAACACTTGGCATATAGTAGGCACTTAATCAATGTTTATTGATTGATTGATTAATTGATTGATATCAGGATACTGGAAGTGGGGGCCTTCTGGACAGGGCAGAAATCACCCAGTTTTTCTGTTCTTGCTTCCCTATCCCCACCCCAGAGAGATGACTTGATCCTATGATTCGTGGGGTTCAGACTTGACAAGCTAGCCCCACCCAAGTCCTAAGAGGGAACAAGGAAAGGAGTTGCATGAGAAGGCTAGCTCAAGAGAACACCTCAGGATCAAGAAGCGGAGCTGCCCTAAACAAATGGTGGAATTGAAGACAAGGAGGGCCTAAGCAAAGGAGGGAACAGCACCATCCATTAGAGCCTCTGTTCTGAACTCCAAGCCTAGGGCTGTGGATGCTAATCATAGATGAGGAGTGTTAGTATAGTCAATACTGCTGAAACACCCCTGTGAACTACAAACCTGCAAGGGGTGATTCTTTATTTTCCTTTCTTTCTTTCCTTTCCTTTACTAGGGGAAGCATGTCTTTGTTTCTCAAAATTTATCTGTGTTTCTTAAAGTTGTTTTTTTTTTAACCTTTCTGCTTAGTTCTCTTTTATGCTGGTTTTCATGATAAATGTAGTTAACTACCACATTACTCACCTATGTGTCATTGTACAAACACAAAGGATAAAAACAATATGGGAATGCCCAGGAGAAGAGACAAATAGATTTTACAACTGCTGTTTATTTCTTCCAGAGGAGTTTTCTGACTGGGGGCTCAGAGCTATAGAAAGAGAATTACTGATTCATTTTTACAACTTCCTAGAGGAAAAGGAGAAATAACTAATACTAGAATCTTTCTCTCTAAGTAATGAGTCAGCGGTTTGGCCAGGGGGAGGCTGTGACTAGCTATCTAGAATTAGAAGAAGGAAAACTTGCCATTTTTCTTCTCCTTTTTTCCAGTAGAACAATTTGAAAAAACTATTCCTTCCAGAGAAGGAACTAAGGAAGATGCTGGGGAGAAAATCATGCCAAAAGGGAGGAGCCAGTGGAATGACTGGGGAGGAGTAACATCCCACCCAAAATGGGTAGAGGCAAATAAGAGTGATAGTCCCCTACCACCATACCAGCATGACACCATATCACCACACCATTTCATCTGAATCTATTCAGATGAAAAAGTCATGGTCCAAAAAGCTTAAGTAATTTTCCTGCAGTTACATATATAGCAGAGGTAAGATTCAAAACCTAGTCTTCCAAGTTCTCTCCATAATATTAGGCTGCTTCTCCAATCGCTGACTTCTTTTTTATGACAAGTCCTCTACCTCAGCCAAGTCACTATCAGTTGAGTGGGCCCAGGCACACATGTTGTACCTCAAGATCCCTTAGTAAGCATCCTAGAGGATTCTGAGGCCCTGCTCTAAGACCCATCCCTGGCCATACCCAGTGTGTACAAGACCTTTTAATGAGTATTGCTATTCATTGCAAACAAAGAAAGAAATCCTTTTCTGATTTTAAAAAATGAATCTAACTTTTTGGCTTTTAATGAGCCATCTCTTATTCTAAACTTAAAATATCATCTTCACTTGTGAGTTCTTAGTGTTTAAAACTGAATCATATTTTTCCAGTTGACAAATTTATTTTCATATTTCATTAACATAGCTACCCAGATGGAAAGGGAGCTGCTTGTCAGGTAAAGTCAGGGAGGATTGTACACCATGCTTAACTTGTTTTAAATATCATGCTTCTGTTATGTTTTCCAAAAGCTATTAGTTTGGGGCGAAAGGAATCATATATAACTATTGTTACCACATCATTGGAAAACCAAAATGATCCCATTAAGTAACATGCCAGTTATTGCTGTTCTTGTTGTTCGGTCATTTCAGTCATGTCTGACCCTTCATGAACCCATTTGGGTTTTTCTTGGCAGAGATATTGTAGTAGTTTGCCATTTCCTTCTCTAGCTCATTTTACAAATGAGGAAACAGGCAAACAGGGTTAAGTGACTTACCCAGGGCCTGACAGCTAGTAAGTATCCGAAACTGAATTTGAACTCTTCCTGACTCCAGGCCTGGTATTCTATCCACTGCACTATGCAGGTAGTTAGGAAAGAATGCTATTCCTAAACAAATTCTTCATTTTATCATTCAAATTGCTGTCTTGGTGCAGTTGTTTGAATTCAGAATTCACTCGCTTTATTTTTAGTTAGCCTGATTCTCTATTTTGTAAATGAATTTTTGGAGAAGGAGATTATATACTCATTCAGCTCTTTTTTAATGTTGTTTAATGGAGCTAATACTCCCATAATAGGATTTTGAACAGTATAAACTGACGAATAGATACATTGATTTTCAGAGCTTGCATAAATTTCAGAATCCCATTATGTATATCCATAAATGGATAAAATATCTCTACTTTCTCTTACCAAGGAATGTACCAGGTGATTGAAGGCATAATTTCCCCAGTAAATGACAAGTATGGAAAGAAAGATCTTGCAGCTGCAAAACATCGGGTCGCCATGGTACAACTGGCCCTACAGACATCCAACTGGATTCGAGTGGATCAATGGGAGAGTGAACAGAAGGAGTGGATAGAAACAGTGCAGGTGTTGAGGTAATAATAGCATTCTTTTTGTGGTGGGGGATGACAAGAAAACCACAGAGGGTTTACACAGAAACCCTTGGTTTAAAAAGGAAAAAAAGCCCACAAAAAAGGTGATAATCAGACCTTTGGCTAAGCCTTCTTAATCACAAATGAGGAAGTGTTCACTCTTCGAGAGATACACACAGTTAAATTGTAAGGGTCATTTGGCCTACCATGTAGTTTTAACACACTCTCTCTCTCTCTTTCTCTTTCTCTCTCTTTTTTTAAAGTCGACCAAAAGCTACTCCAGAGAGTTACTATTAGGTCATAGACTGTCATGGACAGTGTATCTGCCATGCACAATGTAAACCATCATTGCATTTTCCCCATAGTGCATATATGCAGAATCAAACTGCTACAGAAAAAAAATACATCCCTCCCATCATCATAATAGTTAGTATTTATGTAGCACTTTAAGGTTTTCAAAGCATCTTATACATATTATCTCATTTTATCCTCATAACAACCCTGGGTATAGGTGTCATCCTTATCCCTATTTTACAGATGAGGAAACTGAGTCAGATGAAGGCCAAGTGACATTCCCAGGGTTATACTGCTAGCTAAATGTCCAAGGCTGGATTTGAACCCAAATTTTCTAAAATTACAAAGAAGCAACATAAGCAAATGACTTGTTGGATCTGTTTATTACAAAACTGATGTTTGATTCCAACATTGTTTTATCTTCTGCTTCATGTAGATTTCCAACAAAGAGAAGGCTTGGTGGGGTGGAGGGGTGGGGAAGTGGGGTCTTAATAACTGTCTTCAAGTATTTAATAGGATGCCATGTTCAAGAAGAATTAGACTTATCCTTCTTGACATTAGAGGGCAGAACTCGATGCAATGAGTGGCCATTATAGAAAGATCAATTTGACTTAAGGAGAACCTTAACAATTAAAGATGCCTTACAGTGAAATGGGCTGCTGCAGGGGGAAGTGAGTTACCCTTCCCTGTGAGTTCTCAAGTGGAATCCCGATGGCCACTCGTGAGGGATGTTACAGGAAGAATCCTTTTTTAGGTTCAAGTTGGACTGAGTGCTCTCTGAAGTCTTTATCAACTCTGAGAACCTGTGATTGTTTGTTATCTGTGATCACAAACACAATATGGATCATATCTTGCTAAATTTTATATCACTATATTACAACCATTGCTGTGGTGATAAAGGGGAGAAAACAGTTGTTATATAAAGGACCAGAAAAAACAAGCCATATTATTTAATACCCACAATATCATTAAAGCCATCTTCTGGTTTGTGTTTGTTTAGACAGTCATACAAAAAAAAACCCCCACACATTTGAAGGTCACAAAAGGTGACATATGACCTCAGAGATGCAGGATGGGAGCAGTGTAGAAGACTGGAAAACAACCCTAGACTAAATGTGGTATAATAAACCTGGACTTAGGAATACCTGGGGCTCAGACTCTTAAAATCTTGCCACTGCTGGCATTCTTATCTAGCCACTGCTTACCCATGTTCAGACTCTTTAAGAATCTGCCTAGTATGATGGATGTTCTAATAAACCTTGTCTTTGGCTGAAAGAAGGCTTGGGTTGAATTCTTTCATGTAGGACATGGGTGTTGTGATTTTGGGGTCCCAGGACCCCCGAATTCCTAAACTGTATCATTTCCAGCTTTGAAGTAAATCTTGTGAATTTTAAAGGTTGGGAACTCCTGAGTCCTGTAGTAGGTGTTTGCTGTACAGTAAAGGCAAATATCAACAGGAAAGGAAAAAAAAGAGGAATATCTGGATTCAAATCATGCCCCTTATACTTAATAACTATATGACCATAGGCACATCATATAAGTTATCTGAGTCTCCGTTTTCTATAAAATGAAGATAATACCTTTGATACCTACCACATAGGGTTGCTATGAGCCTCAGATGATATAATTATGTTAAATGCTTTGCAACTTTTAAGGTTCTACGTAGATACAGCCAATGTCCCAGGGAGCATCTCTTCCCACAAAGGGCTCTGGGTTCAAGTAGCCCAGGTTCAGTTCTTAGGGGAACTGTCCCAAAGAAAAGGGATTGATCTTTCTCTCGTACTCTATGGTTTATCCCCCTCAGCCAGAGTTCCAGGGGAAATCTCTTAAGTAAAGCTGAGGTATGGCTCACATCTAGGACTTCCCAAAAGGGATTAATAGATTGCCTTCTAGCAAAGGTACTTGGTGTACAAAGTATATATAAAGTATAAGACTACTATTTATTTTCTCCACTGGAAAGAAATGCTTAAAACACAAAAGACTCATAACTGCACATTGACAAATACTTAAAACACGAAACAGTAACCAACCCTTCTAATATATACTCCACAGAGGTAAAGACAACTTTATAGGGTGGTTTAATGGATATTTCATGTTCACTTTGAGTTTCTACTGTCTGGGAAAGTTACAAGTCCAGATGTATTGGATGGCAAGACCTAGATCTTTAAATCTTTTGGCTTTAAAATCCTACTAGCAGTGTTGTCCTTTTCCAAGAAGCTATTGTAGTAATCACCTTTTATCGGGAAACTAGCTTAGGAATTCTCCAACTAACAAAGTAGACATCAAGCCTGTAAACGGATGTCTCTTAGGATTGCCCTCCTAGCACCTGTCCTTGGGGAAGGAAACACAAAGCAGAAGAGACAGCCAGGGTCTTGTGGTTCATTCTTTCATCTGGGCAAGCATGTGTTCTCACAGGCCTGTGAGATGTTACGGGCAGAGAGGACAGTGAAGTTCCCTCCTTTCCTCACTTCAAGTCCAGGAAAAGCTATGTTCTGAACCAAGCAGAACTGAAAGAGTCAGAAAGACAGGCAGGGAGATAGAGAGAAAAAGGATAGGGGAGATGGAGGGAGAGAGGAAGAAAGAGAGAGGGAAGGAGAGGAGAGGGAGGGGGAATGAGAGAAAAGGGAGAGAGAGAAAAAGAGGGAGAAAGAAAGAAAGGGAAGGAAAGGAGGGAGGGAGGAGAAAGAAAGAAAGAGGAGAGAGAGAAGAAGAGGAGAAGGGGGAAAGAAAAGAGGGGGAGGAGAAAAGAGAAGAGAGAGAGATATGGAGCTTTTCTCCACTGTTTCACTTAGAGGCTACCAAGTGGACAGATCCTCGTGGCCTAGTCGTCAGTCCTCTTTAATATACTTTAGTGATGGGGCCAAGGGATCCCTCAGAATTGCTATGTTGCTAATATACTTTAGAAAGGAGCGAAGTCCCATGCCACATAGAGACAGAATTCAGATCCAGTAATGCTCAGATCATTCCAGCTACAGAAACATAAACTAGCGTAATCCCAGATTCTTAAACACTCCCCATCCCAGAGTTTCTGAACCTCTGGTTCACAATGTATAAACAACCCCATTACCCAACCCCAGCTTCTCACTCCCTTACTTCCATCTCACTCAAAGCAAAGCCCCCAATGTCCCAATCCAGATCCGCCTTCTGTTTCCACTGTGTCCTCTGAAATTCCTGCTCCACAATTAATAAATCTTTTCCTCTTAAATCCCTCCCTTTCTCACCACTTCCATCTTCTAACACTCACTGAGACCTGATGGTATCTTGATGATACCATTTCCCTCACTACCCTTTCTATACTGGTTGTACTTTCAATAATACTCCCAACTCATTACTTGTGGTGAAGGACTCAGAATACTTCCTGTTCCCCGTTGCCATTTCTAGACTTTCTTGCCACCATCATGCTCTCCTCCTTTGAAGTTCATACTATCCAAATTTATTACATAATCTAAATCCTGATGTCCATTGTGTATCAACTTCCAGGTCATCCTTTCTTTCCTCAATGAGTTCAGTTCCTGGTTCTCAATCTTTCCTCCCCAACTCTTGCCATCATACTAGGAGATCTCAACATACATATTGATACTCCCTCAAATAACTTCTTAGTTCCTTAGTGTACTCGGTTTCCATGTCTACTCTACCTCAACTACACACAAAGATGGTCATACCTTTGATCGTAGCACCAACCACAAATGTCCCACTTTCATATTCAAGAACTTCAAAACTCCTTTATCTGATCATAATTTTTTAGTCTTTCATTTTTCTCATAGCCTTCTCACTCCTGATGCCATTCTTTGTCCTCACAGTGACCTCCATTCCCTCTGTCCTTCAGTTCTTTCCCAGGCCATCACCCCATACTAGTTATATTCTCTTCCTTTTCCTAGAATACTTGAATAGTTAAACCTTCAACTGTAAACTCTCCTCTGATCTCAAATCTCTGATCCCCTTGTACTTTTATCTATCACATTTTGTCAAATCTCAACCCTGGATGAGTCCTAACATCTGCCTCCTTCACTTCTATTCATGTACTACTGAACAGAACTTGAGGAAATCACGAAGTCATCCTAATTAAGTCCACTGCAAACTTATTTAATTTCAGTTGGGCCCTCACTACAGCAAGGAAGTCATTCTACTCCTCTATTCAGTTTACTGTGTCACAGTGGCTGTTCTCAACTTATTCATCCCTTCTCAAACCTCTCTTGCAGCACCTCACCCCATCCTTTCTGCTGAGAATTTTGCCTTATACTTCACTGAAAAAAATTGAGCACATATTCTGAAAGCTCTCTCTTCTTTCTCCTCCTCATCTCATATCACTCAAATATCTTCCTCCACTATCCCTTCCTTCACTTTGGTCTACAATAAAGAGGTGGCCCTTCTCCTTAACAAGATAAACCTTTCTACATGCACCCCAATCTCATCCTTTCCAGTCTTTTCCAGAAGATACCTCCCCATTATTACCATGTTATATCTAAAGTTTCTCCCCTCTACTGGCTTCCTGCAAACCAATGTATGTCTCCCTCATCCTCAAAAATTACTGACTTGATCCTACTGTCCCTGATAGCTGTCATCCCATATCTTTCCTCTCCTCACCTAAATTCCTTGAAAAAGCTGTCTGTTCTAAGTGCCTCTGTTTCCTCTTAGTCTCTTACAGCCCTCTTTCTGCAATCTGACTTCTGACCTCATCACTTATGTAAAATTTCTCTCTCTGGAGTTAA